AATGATTAAATACAGTAACCTAAGAATTGCGTATGGCTGCATATGATACTCACCTGGTTTTAAAACATCAGAACTGTAGAATTTAAAAGTTAGAAGAAAAAAAGAAAGTTAATTTATAACACGTTTGTCTTTACTAAGTGAAGCAGGACTGTTAAGATAGGGTCCCCCTCCCCACTTCCAATACACAAAGAAAAGGTTTGGTACAGCAAAGTTGAGACTTGTGTAACTTACTTTTCTGTTGCTATGATATGACATCATGACCAAAGAAACTTATAGAAGGAAGCATTGAAGGGCTGGAGAGATGGCTCAGAGGTTAAGAGCACTGACTGCCCTTGCAGAGGACCCAGGTTTGAATCCTAGCACCCACGTGTTGGCTAACAACCATCTATAACTCCAGTTCCAGGGGATCTGACACTCTCTTCTGACCTTCACAGGCATTGCATGCATGGGTGCACTTACATAATGCAGGCTACTTCTAGGTTACTTACACACATAAAATAAAAATAATAAAAATTTTAAAAAAGAAGTGTTTGATCTTACAGTTCCAGGGGACAGTCCATAATGGTGGAGGCATGGTGGTAAGAGAGTAAGCCAAGTGACCACATTTTCAAGCAGGCACGGGAAGCAGAGAGACTGGAAATTCAGCAAAACTCTGAAAGCCTGCCCCCAGTGACATGCTTCCTCCAGCTAGGCCCCAACTACTGAAATCTCTCAAAACAGCACCACCCACTGGGGACAAAATGTTCAAATACTTGGAGCCTATGGGAGACATCCTCGCTCAAACCACCACAACACTCACTGGCAGTGAGTAACAGTATTCTGTTACTGTTCTTAATTGTTTAATATCATTTTTCATGTCACAGACTAGTTTATTAACTGCCTTATAGATAGATTTAATTTAGACTATTTCAATGTATACTTTGCAGTGGTATGTTGCTAAGAATAAAGGCTGTCTGACTCTTAGCATTAAAGCCAAGAGTAGTTATGAAACATCCTGAGAACTTATCCCTTCTGATTTTTCTCAAAACTGTCCTCTCAAACCAAAAGACTTGCTCTTTCTTTATTGAAGCTGTAAATCCAGCATCACATGAAAACAAAGAGAATCTTGTCTAATCAAAGGATTTCACTCCTTCTGACCTCTACTGACCTAGAACAGGGCACACAACCACAAACAGATGTTATCAATGTAATCCCACTTGTTGCTTACAACATAAATGGGATAATTCCTTGCTATCAAGATATTTGCTTTCAGCTCTTGATATTTTCACCACACACACACACACACACACACACACACACACACACACACACAGATACTATTCTGGGTCACAGACAAGAAAGAATCAAGATGATAAAAGCTCTGTTTATCTTACAAAAGGAGCCCAAGGCCTAGCAAGATTGTTTGTAAAGAAACTGAGATAGTATCTCCCAGAAAGTCATTCCCACAGGCTTAATGAAAAGTAATCCATAAACAACTTAAAAGAAAACTGACTGTTGAAACAAAATATTTGTGCTATTGCCATAAGATTTTGGCTTCCTAATGCAGAAACAAATTTCTCCAATTCTGCTTAAATTTTTTAATAATTGGAAGATCAAATGATTATTTTTACAGTTTGTGATTTTTTTAAATGATTTATTTTATTTTTAAAATGTTTTGGGATTTTTTTTTTGTTTTTATTTAATGTGTATGAGTGTTTTCCCTGAATGTCTGTAAGTATACCATGTGCATGTAATACCCATGGAATCCAGGTGAAGGTATCAGATCACCTGCAATTGGAGTTACGAATGGTTGTTAGCTACGATGTGGGCACTGTGAACCAAACCCAGGTCCTCTGTAAAAGCAGCCAGTGCTTTTAACCACTGAGCAATCTCTCCAGCCTTCAAATGATTATTTCTTGTATTTATATTATCTCTTAGTTTTATTTTATTTATTATTTTTATTTTATGTGTATGAGTGTACTGCTTGCACGTATGTGAGTGCACCCATGTCGTGAAATGCTTGTGGTGGTCAGAAGAGGGTGTCAGATTCCCCTGGAACTGAAGTTACAGGTGGAACTACATGGTTGTTAGCTGCCATGTGGGTGCTGGGAATTGAACCTGGGACTTCTACAAGAGCAGCCAGTGCTTTTAACTACTGAGCTAACTCTCTCTTAGTTTTTTTATGAGTAAGATAAATAAAAAGTGAATAGAGTTTCAAATAATTCATTGACTATTACTTTTTAAAATCTATAATTTTTACTTGTTATTCATAAAAAATACACTTACATTCCCCACTAAATTAACAAGACAGCTACAAATTTTAAACATTGTTTGTATTTTAATAATAAAGAATATAATATGGACATAAAATGTAAATGCATAGAAATGAAACAGGTTATTATTAAGTATACTGGTAACATGGAATAGCATTTAGTCAATAAACAACAGACTCAATCTAAAATACTTGTTAGCTTGATAGCTCCAAGTGGAATTACTTAAGCTATAAGGGAATACACACAATAATAGATCCATTCTTGTCGTTCATTCAGAGGCATTACATGTTGACAGACCTGCATATAAAAATAGAAAGTTTTATTTTTCTTTGGCAGATTATCATTGCTTTCTAATATTCAGTAGAACATGTCTAGTTTTCACACACACACACACACACACACACACACACACACACACACACACACACCACACCACACAATCCCTGTGAAGTCAGGTACAATGGTGTGTGACTATAGTCCCAGGTACTTAGGAGACTTAGGCTGGAGGAACATTTGAAATCACAAGTTCCAGGATAGACTAGGCGACATATTGAGACCCTGTTAGAAAAAAAACTAAATAGAAAAAAAAGAAGAAAAAGATGGGTGCTATGGCACACTCCTTATTGGTATAATCCCACCACTTGGTAAGGTATCCAAAGTTTGAGACCAATCTTGGTTACATGAGACCCTGTCTCAAAAAGAAAGAGAGAGAGAGAGAGAGAGAGAGAGAGAGAGAGAGAGAGAGAGAGAGAGAGAGAGAGAGAGAGAGAGAGAGAGAGAGAGAGAGAGAGAGAGAGAGAGAGAGACAGAGAGAGAGAGAGAGAGAAAGGAAGGAAGGAAGGAAGGAAGGAAGGAAGGAAGGAAGGAAAAATGTTGTGTGCAGATAAAACTTAGTGTTTTTCCCTACGAGGACTAACAATGTATAATTCTAAGGACTAAATGTAGAATCCTGTCTCAGTCCTACTGTATTACAGTAGTGGTTAGTGTATATAAATGTGAGTAAAGAAGGGTGGTAGGTAGGAATGGAATAAATACCCTTTCCCTACCAAGTCTAAAGCTTTCTAAAGTCTTATGTGTGTGTGTGTGTGTGTGTATACATGTGAATGCATGTGTTCATGTGGGTACATGTGGGTATGGAGGGTATGGGCATATGTGTACATGAGTGGAGGTCAGAGGTCCACCTTGGAAGCCATTTCTACTCCATCCATCTTATTTTTTTGACACTGAATCTTTCACTGGGACCTGGGTCTCACTGATTAGGCTAGACTGGCTGGCCAGTGAGCCCCAAGATCTGCCTGTCTCCATCTCCCCAAAGCTGGGATTACAAGAGTGCTTACCATGCCTAGCTTTTTACAAGGGTTCTGGTATTGAACTCTGGTCCTCATGCTTGTACAGTAAACACTTTACTGATCTATCTCCCATTTCATTTCCTAAAATCTTAACTGGAGACACACACACACACACACACACACACACACACACACACACACACCTATCTTTATCCTTTATCTTTAAGTTAGTCAGGAATGTTTAGTCATTTTATGGACAGCATAGAAGAAAAAAGAGTAAGAGCACACTGGTAGGCCCTTGCCTTTGTTCCTTCACCAGATCCTGGATGCCTTTGAATTTGTGGCCTATTCAGAAACTCAAGAGTTCTGCTAACACTAAATTTTAACGGTTTCTGGCTCTTGACTTAGTTGCTTATCTAAAAATTAGAGGTGTTTCTTCTCTCAGGTAATTTTTTTTAACTTAAAAAAAAACTTTATTTAGAATTTCCTACATAAAAGGTAATCTTAGGCAATCTTAAATACTGGAGATGAAGAAGATATTTTGGGTTATAAAGTACTTATTTTTAGTAGTAGTATTTTGCATTTCTCTATAAGATGTACAAAAGTGCTTTCATATACATCATTTTATTTTTAACTTTATATTATTCTTGTGAAGTATCTACCTAAACTAGCGATATTATCTTAATTTTATCTTTAATGAAACTGGAGCAAGGTCAGCAAGATGGCCCAGCAGGTAGAGATACTTGCCACCAAACCTGATGGCTTGAGTTGGAGCCCCAGAACCCACAAGATGGAAGACAACAGACTCCTACAAGTTTTCCTCTGACCCATCCACATGCATGGTGTGGCATTTGGGTAGACACACACACACACACACACACACACACACACACACTCACTCACTCACTCATTAATGTAACAAACAAACAAACAAACAAAAAGAAACTGGAACAGAGAAGATAAATGAATTACTAATAGTCACTCAACCAAACAGTGGTAGAATTGGATTAAAATAAAGTCTCAGCCAGGTGTGGTAGTGCATATCTGCATCCTAGCACTTGGGAGGTGGATACATGAAGACCAGGAGCTCAAGGTCATCCTTGGCTAACTAGTGAGTTTGAGGCCAAACTGGGCTACATGAGACCCTGTCTCAGGAAAATCAAAAGAGTTAACAAAATCCCCAGTGTCCTATGGATAGAATGGGTACATAATGATATGAATGTCACACTCAGTTTTCAACTTCATTTCATATCACATACTTAATCACAGCATTAACAGTAAATAATTTCTTTGCAAAGAAAGAAGACAAGGGTTTTAATTAAAAAAATTACCATTGTAGATTTTGGAGCCACTTCTACTGCAAATATGTTGAGTCCTCTGTTGTTCACACAGTTTTTACTTAGCTCATTGTTGATGTGAATAATCACTTTGTTATCTGACTGTAAAAAATATTATGTCTCTAGTTTGTAAAATAAATACAAATATAAACCTCAGAATAAGACCTACAATTCTGTTATCATATAATCCAATCTGCTAAAAATTCATACCAACTGACTGCTGCTTTCTACCATATGAGTTTTCACCATTCGTTCTTGTCTAACTTATTACCAATGATATAAAAATTTTCCAAAACGTGGCTTGGATTTGCCCTTACTTTACTTTACTTTACTTTTATTCCTAGGCCACTGTGGACTCTACAGACAAGTCACCTCACCCTTGGCATATTATAGAAATAATCTACATTTCTTTTCATTTAGCTCCATTTTTCCATCTTTCATTCACTCCGATACTACTTTCCAACTAATACGCCTGAAACAGCCTTTTAATTGGGCTCCTCCCTCATTCACTGACTCAATAACCATAGATTTATTTAATATTAACTGCATGTCAAGAGACAGTGAAATATAACACACAATTCCTGAAGCCAATGAGCTAGTGCACAGTCTAAGGGTGACAGGTAAATAAAATGACAGTTATAAAACACTTTGCCAAGTAGTATTCATACAGTTCTATGGAAACACAGAAGATGAACATTAGTTCACACTGGCATTTCAAGGAAGACTTCATGGAAGGAGTGACTACTGAGATAATAAACAATGGCCTGTAGGCTGGATAGGAAGCAAGAGAAGGCAGAATGAAACTAATAAGCAGGAGAAATCCAGGAATCAAAATCTCCCCATGCTGAGAAACCTGGAACCACTCCCTAATGACTGTAACAAGGGCAACATACTGCTGGAGCATTTAGATATTTCTCAATTCTTCTGCTACTTTGATATGCGATTTTTGCACGTTATTTAATCTCGACATGCTTCAGTTTCCTGTGTGTAAAACAGAGATAGTCTCATAGGACCTGATAGGAAGTATATGTGTCAAAATATGTAAATGCCATGTACCTGGTAAACTTTAAAATGCTAGTACTATTAACACATTTTGGTTAAGAAAGCTCATTTAACTTCCTTGAGGTAAAAAGAGAGAGTTGTAAAATAATAAGAGTTAAGAGGGACTGGACTAAGGTAGTAATTCTGTTCTAACCTATTAATCTTAATAAAACCCAGGGGGTCTGAAAAGAAACTGCTGAATCTTAGGGATCACCTTGCAAGGCTTTATGGCAAGTTACTAGCTAGAGAGTCTAGCTTATTTCATCACGTCCAAACTCATTATCCTGTTTTCAAAATGCACCTATCAATGTTTCTTACCTTCCTAGTAATACTTCATATTGACTCTTCCCCATGCTTCTTCTACTGTTTGCCTTGTTTCTAAAGGTTGTCTCTCAGTGTATCTAAACCTTAGACCGAGCTACAGTCCCACTATACAGTCTTCTTTCCCCTCCTGATAAATCATTCCAAACTTCAATGGTTCAAACTAACCACTACAAGAGATACAAGTAGAATGAAGCTATTGCATATGCAAATAGTACTTTATGATTTAACATTTATTTATTCTGACTTCTTTCAAAGTATTAACTTTGTCTTTCCAAATAGCTCATAAGCTTGAAGAGACCATGTTTTGTATGTAGTTCCTCATGGTTCTAGTTGCATATTGAACTAAACAAAATGCTTTATTCCCAGATTATGCTGACTCCTCAATTATCTCTAAATATTTAATTTTCATATTTTAAAATAAAAGCAATGATCTGAAATCTATAAATCATACAAGAATTATCACACCAAGTTTGATTTTAAAATAGTAAAATGAATAACTGTCCATTATAAACATTGTAAATAGAATATATTTAGCTACTGTGTAAAGAAGAATAACATAATCAGTAAAGTTTTCATAGCAAAGTAAGGAAAACTACCTCATAATTGATACCTTATTTTCAATAATTGATGTGATCCAGGTGTCATAATTACAAGTGTGTACTATAATGTTTTCATAGCCATCCATTACTTTAGCTTCACCTCTATCAAGGACAGAATTACAAACTGCTGTCTCAAGTTGCCCACTACATGCTTCCATATTGACAGCTTTAATTCTTGGCTTGCATTTTTCTGCATAGATATCGATGACAAATGGGCATGCCTGATAGGAAAGCAAAGAAAATCTTAGCTTAGCTTTCTGGTAGAATTTTAAATATTTATTAATATTTATTATTAAATGTTTGCCATATGATTAAGATGCAGTTGGGCCAGCAAGATGGCTTAGTGGATAAAGGCACTTACCACCATGCCTAACAACCTGAGTTTGATTTCCAGAACCCACAAGGTAGAAGGTGAGAATAAACTCCTACAAGTTGTCCTCTGACTTCTACATGCAGGCTATGGCATGTATTCACACACATTCATGTGTGCACATGCACACACACACACACACACACACATTAAACTGTTTAAAAAAAGAAAATGTATTAAACCTTCTATTTTATCCTTCTGATACCATTTTAGGAGAAAATATTAATACTGTGAGTCAAATAATAAAAACCATGAGATAATGATAATGACTATTTGGTAGCATATTAACTGATACTATTTGCAGAAATTGAAAGAAAATTATAGCCTATAATTATAGCAAATCAGTATGCTAGATTCACTTAAATCATAACACTAACCCTCTGTTTTGTTCAGTCACTACTAATATCATGTTCTTTCTTTTCTAATTTTAAGGCTACTAAAATAGTCCATTGAAGAGTTATAAAAAATAATTGTCTTCACAACTTAAACAACATGTGGATATAGTGCACTAAAGGAATTTACTGTAAAACAATTCATGATTTAAGTTTAGTCTAAAAACACCTATCTGATATTTTCAATATTTTCTGCAATTTGAACTGCACTTCTCGTGTCAACTTTTGGCCTTTCTCATAGTCCACCATGTGCTTTAGTCAGTAGCCCTCTGCTTCTCTATCCACCCCAGACTCCTGCTTTGTCATAGTTCAGCCACACTGATCTTTCAGACCTTAGAGCAAATGAAACTCTTTGCTTTTGTGCATGGTGTTCTCTCTAATTTTTTCTCCTATCTCTTCACCTGGGTACCCCTTTCAGGTTAAAAGCTCATGTTCCCAAATCTGTGGCGAGATCCATCCGGTCTCCCAGTCTTCCTCACTCCTTTACTGTTCTCTACTTTAGCTTCTGCCTTCTTTCAAAAACATTTTTGAAATGATCGTACTTATTTTCCAATTAATTAGTCATTCTCCTTCACTGTATATAAATTCTGTGAGGCAGGGATTTTGACCACTGTATTATCAGTGCCTCTCTCTTACCAACTTATCACATGGTAGTTATTTAATATGTATTTGCTGAATAATTGATTAAATTTGCACACATCAATGGCCATCTTTCAGGAGAATAAAAGTTGAAGTTGATTTGGTGGAACAGCAACACAATGGTTTGTTTATAAGCATCTTTTTTCAGTACTGGGGATTGAACATAGGGCCTTGTATATGCTAGGTAAATATTCTGCCATTCAACTACACTACAAGCCTCTAAATTATTTCAGTAATTTCAAACATTGGCATTAACAAAGCTACCCTTTCCAGAATTGGTAGAGGCAGGGGGGTTAGCTAAGTATGAAAAAAGCCTTGAGTTTAATTTCCAATCCCAAAAGGATAGGTGTGTGTGTGTGTGTGTGTGTGTGTGTGTGTGTGTGTGTGTGTGTTTAAAATCATTGGACCAGACAGCAAAAGATTTAGGTTTTTAGATATTTTTCTTTTATTTTTACTCTTTGAAAATTTCATAGATACATGTAATGCATCTTTCTTTCTTTTTTCTTTCTTTCTTTTCTTTCTTTCTTTTTTGGTCTTTTTGAGACAGGGTCTACCTGTAGCCCCACCTGGCCTGGAACTCACTATGTAGACCAGGCTATCCTGAAACTCACAGAGGTCCACCTGCCTCTGCCCCCCAAATGCTGGAATTAAAGGCATGCACCACCACGCCTGGCATGCAATGCATCTTAATAATATCTGCCCCTACCTCCCCCCTCCAGTTTCTCCTTGTCCTCCTTCCCATTATGTCTCCCTTAAAAACAAAAATCTGGGGGCTGGAGAGATGGCTTAGTGGTTAAGAGCACCGACTGCTCTTGCAGAGGGCCCAGGTTCGATTCCTAGAATCCATATGGCAGCTATGAACCATTATTAACTCCAGTTCCAGGGGAATCCGAAGCCCTCTTCTGACCTCCACAGCATTGCATGACACGGGTGCACACACATACATGCAGCAATACACTCATACACATAAAATAAAAATAATAAAATATTTAAAAAAGGAAAAGGGGGCCGTGTGTGTGTGTGTGTGTGTGTGTGTGTGTGTGTGTGTGTGAGCCCTGGTCTAGGGATCAGGAAAGGAAAAATTCTCTGATAAGGGTTTAACTTTTACTTCCCCATTTCATGCTGATATACTGCTTCAATAAAACAATGAGCAGGCCCATGATCTGTAGCACAGTTCTAAGAGAATTCTGAAGGAACAGCTTCTCAATTTATATGGGCATGAGATTACTTCAGCTATATATGATTTTAGAAATTACCTAAAAAATAGCTATACTTCCTTATTAGGAAATTCTTGTGAGCAAAAGACTACACACACACAAAACACACAAATAAATTGGAACAGAGCTTTTACATTTACATAAAACTCATCCTAGATTATAATAAATGTTTATTAATTTCTTTTTTTACAAACATGAAAATGTTAGGTTGTGCTGTAGTTTTATTAACTCATTGAATAGTCTTTTTGCCTCAGACAAATTATAAGCATCAATTAAATGATTAGAATACAACATCTTCAGACATTAAACAAATCTTTTAAATAAAATGCTACCACATACACAAATCTCTTATCACTAGTGGAAAATAGATGCACCTTATTTTTTTTAGTTCTGGGAATAGTCATCAAGGCCTTGCACATGCTAATACATGTTCTACCACTGAGCTATGCCTCTCCAGATCCAGCAGACAGTCTTTAAAGATTTTGTTTCATAGAATTATCTACTTGTACTCAAACAAGTTTCAGATCTTAAAGCATTCTTTTGCATATTTATGTGTGGTGGACATGCATATGAATATGTACATTTATATGTGTATGGGCACATGTGGAAGCCTGAGGCTGATGTTGAGAGTCTTCCTTGATAGTTCCCCACCCTTTACTTTGAGGCAGGGTCTCTCAATTGAATACAGAGCTTGCTAATACAACTAGTCTAGACAGGGAGCTTTTTCCAGGGAATCCCAGCCTTTGTCTTCTGAATTATAGGTGGGCCATCATGTCCACCCAGAATTTATGCGGGTTCTGGGGATCCAAACTCTTGCCTTCATGCTTGTATATCCACTGAGCTATTTCCCTAGCCCTGGAGTATTTTATAAAAATCTGTATGACTGTGGGCATGTGCCTGCTACAGTATGTATCTGCCATAGTGTGCTTGTGGAGGTCAGAGGACAACCTCAAGTGTCAGTCCTCATCTTCTACCATGTTTGAGGCAGGGCCTCTTGTTGTTTGCCACTGCATACGCCAAGCAAGCTGGCCCAAAAGCTTCTGGGGATTCTTCTACCTCTACTTCCCATCTTGCCATAGGAGCATTGGGATTACAGATGGATGTACTACTATGACTTTATATGGACTCTAGGGGTCCCAATTTAGAAGGCACAAATTGTTCATTCCTGGATTCTTCCTTTTAGTATCTCCAGACTACAACTGACCTCAGAAAACTGAAATCTTGGATAAGGGGAACCTACTATAAACTCAAGATTTATGAAGACAGTGATCCTATTCTTAGGAGTTACACCATTCCAAATGCTTGTCAAAAAATTGCTCCTTGGGGCTGGAGAGGTGGCTCAGTGCCTAAGAGTACTGGCTGAGAATACAGTAAAAAATGCCAAAATTTTATTTTGCTCTGAATGCCTTTAAACAAAAACAATTTCAATGCCTATTGTAATGCCTTAAACCTTTAACAAATAATAAATTTAAATTGGTTAAAAAAACCCCACAAGACTATTAATATCTTTGAGCTGTATTTATTACTGTGAGATATTCAAGATACTATATAGATGTTTTTTGTGTTTTAGAGACAGCCTCTTGGATTTTCATTATAAGTTCTTACTAAAATATTTTTGGTGAAATTTTATAAAAAATAATAATGAACTACCAAGTTAGAGTATTTTTTAATATTTTATTTATTATTTTTAGTGTATGAATGTGTTGCCTACATGCATGTGAGTGCACCTGTGTTGTGCAATGCCGCGGAGGTCAGAAGAGAGCTTCAATTCCCCTGGAACTGGAGTTAAGGACAGTTCACAACTGCCATGTGGGTGCTGGGAATTGAACCCGGGTCCTCTGCAAGAGTAGTCAGTGCTCTTAACTGCTGAGCTATCTCTCCAGCCCCAAACTACCAAGTTAATTAGAAATTAAGCTAGTCATGATGGTGTACTCGGGAGGCAGAGGCAGGTGGATCTCTGTGAGTTCCAGGCCAGCTGAGGCTACAGGGAGACCCTGTCTCAAAAAACAAACAAACAAACAAAACAAAACAAAAACAAAAAAAAAACTCCCAGATATTAAAAGGTTATAGGTATGAGATATATTTTTGGCAAAAGAAGGTTAAAAAAAAAAGAAAGAAAAACAATTTTGGATGAGAAAAGACTTTGTATAGTACGATAAAGATTGTTCCAAAATGGAAATGGATTAAAATAATGTCAAAATATTAAACTATGTTGTAAAAGACTGAGAAAATTAAACCTAGAGAAAGCAGAGATGGCCATGTAGTGGCACATGCTTTTAATCCCAGCCCTAGGGAGGCAGAGGCAGGCAGATCTCTGCAAGATTGAAGTCAGCCTGGTACACATAGTGACTTCTAAGTGGACTGGGACCAGGGATACCCTGTCAAAAAAAAAAAACAAAAAAAAACAAAAAACAAAATAAGAAAGCAGATTTGGTTATAACTAAGTTGATTGTAATATAAAGGTTATTAAAATGTTTAGGTCAAAATTCAGTTCCCTGAGGTAAAAATGCTTAAACAGATTTTCTTACATATTAATCTATTCTTGGTAACGAGAACCAGGAGCCAGACTCCAACAAACACCCCTTCAAAGCCAGCCTTCTCCAAAGGACTGCAGCTGTCAGGAGCAGGAGCTAAGCTCAGGTGGTTTGGTGCCCTACGTGTTGCCTTTGCAAGATGCCTGCCCTGCTGCAGCCTGGGTTGGAGATGGTTGACTGAGTGGATGTATGGATCCATGGATGGATGTGTTATATCCAACCAGCATGAGTGTGGCTTTAGTGTTGGAGTGTCACCTGATGACCTCAGTCACATCTGTGAATTTGGCTCCTGTTTGTGATCTGGTTCTGGAAGCAGAGCCATTGCTCCAAACCCAAGTCACCGAACCTCTGGCACACTTGCTGGTTTTTTTTTTTTTTTTTTTTTTTTTTTTTTTTAAAAAAAAAAAAAAAAAAAAAAGAGGACGATAAATCTTTCACTGTGATATATCAAAATAATCATTGTCAAATAAAGCAGTCTCAACAGCGCTGCTCCAAATGACCCGATGTGAAACCGTCTGGGCTGTGGGCTGGAATATTAAATGACACTGTGTTTCCACAAAAAAAAACATGGCTTAGAAAACAAGGATTTTTAAATTACTAAATTCAGAATTAGTTACAGTCTTCCTCAAAGGATAAAGAAAACCATATGATTTCATCAACTGAAAGAAGGCTAGTACATTAAGCACTCCATTTCTGACTGGAAGAAAAAGGCTGTATCCAGATACTTTTAACCTATTCTGTACTATGGAATTCAAGGAGATGAACTTTTGGATTCACATGTGCCCGCTTCATCTGAGAGCTCATCCATGTGGACTTCAGAAATGCTGGATGGTACTAATCTTCAGTTACATTGACAATCGAGTATCCCACCACAAGTAACTGAACATTTCAATCATTGTTTCTTAACAACAACCTTTTAAAAATTAGTTTTTTAAATGGTTTCTGATATTTAATATTTCAGTTAGTATATTCCTAAATGATAAAATATCATTTCTCTTAGACATTGTTATTGTTTCTTGCTATTGTTATTGCTATTTGTCTTTTGTTTTTTGAGACAAGATCTTGCTATATATAGCCCAGGATATGCTCAAATTTGCTATGCAGCCCAGGTTGGCCTAGAACTCAAAGTCTTCTTGCTTCAAGAAGACCCAGCCTTCTCCCAGGTGCTAAGATTTCAGACATGCACCACTATGCCACACTGTCTCAGAATTTTTAAAAACTGTAGTTCCAAGTTTTAAGATAATTTCCCATGGTCACTTTCCTAACAGCTGATTTAATATTATTCATAGATAAAATAATAATCAATGCATAAAATTAAATCTGGTTTCTACAGATAAAACTTCCTTAAAGAGGATCAGTATCAGTTCAGTGAATCTTTAACTAAATACAAGTCAAAAGGGGGAAACAGTTTTAAAAAAAAGTTCTCATAAACTTCTGAGTATTCTGTTGTTATCAGATGGTTAATGGTAGGCATCAGAACTGAAGTTGGACTTGTTTAATTAATCTGAAAATATGGCCCGGGGATGTAAGTCAGTGACAGAACACTTGCCTAACATGCATGAGGTCCTGGGTTCAACTCTCAGCACTCAACAAAAAGGAAAGGAAAAAAGAGCCTCATCTCAGTGAGCATAATTTTGTAGGGCAACCAACATGAGCTCCTCACTTTTCAAAGTCAAGCAATGAGGACATGTTCATGCAAATAAGTGCCAATAAATCAACACATCAAGAATTTCACTCATATGACTATGTTTCTCCAAAGACTGTTAAATCACTTATACTTTTAATATCTAAACAATCCCTGAATGATATACTACCCAAAACTCCAAAATAAATAAGAATAAACAAGCTAGTCTAGATGAAATAACCATGTTGGACCAACATCAATCTATCTCCCTTGTAAGAACAAATCAAGATTTATCTTTTCATTTCAGTTACAGAGTGGTGGTTTCACTATCTTTTGACACTTCCCATTGCATGATTTGTTTTTCCTTTTAAATTTTATCTTATTTTTTGCTCGTGTAGCCCAGGCTAGCCTCAAACTTGCTATGTAGCTGAAAATGACCTTACAATCCTCTTGTTCTTCCTCCTGAGTTCCAGAATTACAGGTAATGTGATTCTGGGAACTGAACCCAGGGCTTCATGCACGCTCAGCAAGTACCCTACCAACTACGCAACTTTAGCCCCCTTTCTGCTAAATTTCAAATGATGTGAGTATTACCTAATCAATATATAAATAAAATTTAAGTTAAATAAAAATTTATCTCATAACTCCTTCTTACCTATTGTTTCAAAGGCAAGTAACATTAATAAGCTGTTTAAATTGCTTTGTGGGGGGCTTTTTGAGACAGGGTCTTCCTGTAGCCCCAGCTGGCCTGGAACTTGCTATTGAGACCAGGCTGGCCTCAAACTCACAGAGATTTGCCTGCCTCTGCCTCCAAGTGCTGGAATTAAAGGAGTGTGCCACCATGCCCGGCGGTTTAAATTGCTTTTAACTAATTTATTTTATTACATAAAAACACATATAGCAGAATCAATATAGCTGATAAACTAGAAGTAGATTTTATAACCACAGTCAAAATGTGGAATTCACTAAATATTAAAGAAAGACATTAAAAAATTATAATTTTTACTATTACTAAAAAATGGCAAAAGAGAGAGAGAGAGAACTTCTGAGAAAGCAAGTTTATGAGGGTACTGAATGACATCAAAACTAGGCATTAAGTCAAAGTCTCAATGTACCTAACATTTAACATTTTTCAATACTAGTATTGCCCTTTACAGTTGACTGATGTATGGGGAAATGACAGTATTATTTTAAGTAAAAAAGAACCAGTAAAAATAAATGTACTGGTATTTAATAGGCGGTTTGAAACTTTATTTTCTTTAAGATTTACTTTTTAAATTATTTTTATTTATATGTATATGTTGTATAAATGCCATTGTGTGTGTGTGTGTGTGTGTGTGTGTGTGTGTGTGTGTGTGTCTGAAATACCCTTGGAGGCTAGAAGAGTGTTGGATCCCCTGTAGCTGAAGTTACGGGCAGGCAGTTGTTAGTCACCAAAACTGGGTGCTGAAAACTGGGAACTGAACTCAGGTCCTCTGGAAAAGTAGTATTCACTCTTACCCACTGACCCATCTCTTCAGTCCCTTGAATCCTATATTTTAAGCCTGACACAGAACTTAAGAAGGCCCAATTTCTATTACTCCTCTGAGTTTATCACAGTAATTCTGTACCTATTGTGTTAATAATAACTGTGGTGGTTGAAGCATAGCATACATAGAACTTTTATGGGTCACTCACTGTTTCAAGCATTTTATAAATATTAACCCAAGAAGTCCCATCTTATAAAAAAAGATAAGAATTCCAAATTCCCTACAGACATATCCTTCTTATTCTAAGAGAATCTTCTTTCTGTTAGGATGAAAAATTTCCCTATTTATAAATAAGACTTTGCTATTCAAATATACAGCTCCAATTAAAGAATATATACCTTTATCATTTTTCCTGCACATCATTTGCTTAAACTCTTTGGTCTTTGATCTATTTAACTGTAGGTGACAGTAACTACATTTCAATAGAGAACAGGAACTTGAGTAAACTGGTAGAATGATGCTGTTGTGCCCAGTATCCATCCACCTACTACTGAAATTCAAAGATCTGTGTGCCCAATTTATAAATCATATGTCAGGAGGATGTTCAAGGGGCAAATATTATGAAAAAATAAAGCTATTGGGAAACTAGGAATGCTTTACCTCTGTCAACTCCAGAGCTTTATTGTAGCCCATTGAGTGCAGAGTTACCCACAGGTCAAGAGGATCTCCTCGATCATTGGCTTCCATCAGATTCAAATCCATAAATCCTTGTTTTGTTAATTCATTCTTTTTTGTATCAAAGTTTTCTGAGAAATAGAAAAAAACCAAAGTTTCTTTCATACATTATTTAAAAATCCATACATTTAATAAAATGTCTCTAATGGTAAATGCTTATTTGTAAGCAATCCACAAGTGAAATAAGAATTCTTCAAAACATGCTCCAAAGCTTCTCTTTCTAATTTCCTACAATGCAACATAGGCATCACTCTGATAGGGGATTTTTTCCCAAGAAGTTCTACAGTTATACCTAGAGCAAATGTTAATTACCCAGAAAAACTATAATTTCCTCTAACTTTGTAATTAAGAGTTTATAGTAATATTTTTAAAAAATTGACTGTAACTAGTAATAATCAGATATATAGAGATTAGAAATGCATGTGCAAACATCTAAGTGTTAGTCGCATTTAAAAATGAGCTTTTCTATGGAAACAGTACATTTTAAAATGAAATGGAGATCTTTTTTAAAGGTTAAAACTCATTCAATTTTATATCTTACAGGGTTTATACTGAGCACAATATTGTATAACTGTATTAATTCAACTGTAAATCTGAAAATTTACAGCCAATTTTGAAACA